GGGTGAGCCAAGTTGGGGCCTCTAAAAAATAGTCCCAACCCGAAATCACTTTATAACCTCCGGTGGTTTCTTCATAAGACGGTGATGCACAACTAGTCTATCGTTAAAAAGAAAAACGTTTAATTTTAAAACAGTCTGAAAATCAGGTCAATATTCGATATTTTTTCTAAATCATTTATTTTATCATAGAATCTGTGATACTATGTATATTTTTTCGATCTTTTCTAATATATATCTGTGATAAATCTTATTACGTGATAATAATTGAACTTGACTTTAATTAAAATTTTTCTCTCAATCTAATTTTTCGTTTTGATAAGATTTGTCTCTGTCTCTTTGTCTCTTTCTCATAGATCGTCAAAAAATATAATCTACTACATATTTACTTCGTACACATAAATCTTAACAAATTCATTCATCATGCTAACCACACCTAATATTAGATTTATCTCTACATATACATATGCATATGAGAGACGTGTCATTAACAATAAATTATATCGAAAAAAAGAAAAAGGTATATTATGCGTTTACGTAAAAAAGAAAAAAACTTTGTCTAAATACGTTTGCCATTTTATAAAGCGCAAGTATATTTTCGTTTATTCTTCTTTGTTTTGAAAACGTACAATTTGAGATAGATTATTTTATTCCAACAAACAGTTTTTTTGTTCAATATATAAAACTACCGCCGCTTCAATTTCCTTTTATGTACATTTCTGATTAATTATTTGTCATGAAAGAGAGAAAAATGACAAATGCTTTATATAGACGATGAGAGAGAGTGAGATATCTATTGATGAATGATGGCCTATTGACTTAAATGAATATAGATTTTTGTTTAAAATATAGTTGGTATCCTTCCATAGACTCTCATCAACATATTTGAATATAAATGAAATGTTTAGTTTCAAGAGCCTCTGATATGTGCCATTTTCTGAAGAAGTCAAGTTGATGCCTCTTCTTTTTTTTTTTTTGCTGTTTTTGGAAAAGTAAATATATTCCTCAAATTTTAAGTGTGCACTCATTACATCATTTGTTCATGTGTGTGTGTGTGTGCCATTTGAGATCTTTTATTCTTTTTGTTTCAAGTGTATAGTATGTTGTATATACAAGTTGCCGCATTTTGTGTAATTATATGTCATTTTTGAAAACAAAACAAAAACGAAATTTCCACCATAAATGGTCTAGCTTTCAACACTATAAATCATTGCAATATATTGGTTTTCTTCTTTTCTTATCTTGCTGAATATCCTATTTTTCATCAAAATCTCATTGAGACGGTTATTAAAAATATTGAGGTCAAAATAGATCATATCGTGTGTGTACAGAGAAAGGTGGGAAACATATAAAACTACACACGAGGGATTGAATGATAATATATATATATAGAGAGAGAGAGACACAAGTTATGAACATGTCTATGAATTAAAAATAAATGTTTTTTTTTGTTTTTTTGTTTTTTTTGTGAAGATCACATAAAAAACAAAAGAAAATCATTTCTCCTAAACGTTATCTGTCTATATATAGTTACCTATTTTTCTTTCTAAATCTATCAATTAGTTGGTTGATAAATGATCGACACCTATCAGTCAATTATCATAACTGAGAAAACGATCTAATATCACACATAAGTCGAGATATAAGATAATAATTATTATTTCTAAAATACTTTGTCAACTTTCTATCTTATATTATCTGTAAAAATAAATAAGAAAAGTTAGTTTGTATATGTTGAATTTGAATATTCTAGACAATCCAATAAAGGTCATTTATTTGATGTCAATCACGATTAATAATGAGTTAACTATAAATAGATAAATTATCTTATCTAGACTCTCATATTGAATATAAATCGTTCAATCTGTTGCAAGCATGATAGCTCTCTTGCTCTATTATATAATTTAGAACAGACACATACAGAGATCTATGATATGTACATATATATATATATATATATATATATGCATAAAATATAGTACCATCTAAACTTAAAGGAACCATGTGGATGCAAGTTTAACAATGGAAAATATCTTGAACACTTGACACATACAACACACACACGAGTAACAATACAATGAAGACAAATATTTAAAGAATTAAAAATTAAACAAAAACGATGATTTTTTAATCGTATGCGCGTACATATAATGTCCATTGAATATAATACATATTATATATATTCGAGACAATATTCAGTCATTATATGAAGCTCATTAATCTTCATATTTTATTTTTTTATTTTTAAACTGATAAACCACATGTTTGATTTGATTTTAAAAACGAAAATTGTTTTCTCTTCAAAATACAAACGGCAAAATAGAAATTATGATTACTTTCGTATGTTCAACAAAATACAAATAAATCAAAGAAAGCCGACAAAAAATAATAACACTATATTCTTTGTTCGATAAAAATTAATGATAAATGTAGTAATTAACTATACACACGTCAAATAAAGGCAAATGTAGAAATACACACATACAATTTGTACGCTTATTATTACCATCATTAATGAAACAATAAACATTATGCCGCTGTGATCAGATGAATATACTGAACAGTGTCTACTCCTTTGACCTCAAGTTGATAAAAATAGCTGATCTACCTTGTCTTTCAATAGCCCAGTGATGATATCTAGACTAAGTTAGACTATAGAGCACATCGATAATTTCAGTAGTTTTATGGGATAAGTAGGATGAACAGCACTAATATTAATGACTTTCTTAAATTGATAATTATTAATAGTGATATCTAGCGTGAATGCTACTAGAGAATGAGCCTTTGTTAATCAATGATTAATTTAACTTTAACTTTAACTTTTAAGTCCGATCTGGATCTCACTTTCAGAGAAGGCTTATGCTTATGTCGAAGTGTTCGGCGAATAAATCTTTTTTAGCTTCATTTGTATCCGCTCGCACGATGCCATCAAAATGGGACAGGTCAGGGATCCCAAAAGGTTTCACTACACAGTTCTGGTACTACATAGCCAGGAATGGTTTGATTTTCTTAGATAAATCCTACGTTTTCGTATTACACAATTCCATTTTTGATATTTGGCAATACGGTCCGATCGAGCACGGAGTATATCCTACCCGGTTTGGCAAGATTTCCATACTTTTTTCTTTCAACGGGTTAGCGCATAAATCAAAGCGCATGTAGACACTTATTCCACGTGATAGAGCGGCAAAAACTGTATATTTCCTTGGATGATACGGTGTTTTATTGTGCGGTCAGAAAACTGACCAATTATATTTGCCTCAGGATTACCTTTGTCTGATTGGGCGAACTTATCCGTTCGAGCAATATTTCCCAATCAGACAAGGGCAATAGACTGCCTGATCGGGTAAGATACCTTACCCGAACCAGCAATATTGCCAAATTGGCCAAGATAAATAGTACAAAATTGAGCTATATCTGCTATTCGTCTCTGCCATAAAAGAGAAAGAAGATTGAATACATACGGAGAATAATCAGTGCACTAGGAGTAGAATGAACACTTCCCGCCCACTAGATGACTGATGATTCTTGAGATCAGACCTTGCCCGATCGGGCAAGTGACAACGGACTAACAGACATAAGGTCCCATAATTAGATCGATCTTTCGAGATGTAACAAATCTGAAAGGTGACGAAAGTTAAGTTTGAGTATAAACTTACATCTCAATAGAATGACTCTATTGTAATCATAGGAAAATTTACGCATAATATGAGTTGCTCAACAAAATTGAAAAAGACTAATTAATCAAAGAAAAAATAACTTTTTATATAAAAAATAAATAGACCAATGATTGTTATATTGTAATAACATCGTCATGTTTTTAGAATTTTTTGTTTTGATTTTGATTGTAAAATATTCATACTAATTAAATCTTGTTTACAACCGATATGATTGGCAAATGGAGAACTTTTAGGACGGTTTAATATCCATGTGTTCTAAAAATGAGAAAATACTTTTAATTTAAACATCAATTTCTAAATATAATTACGTACTCTAGGATTATTTTGCTGCCATTGTGTATGCATTTGTGTTCGAATATCTCTTGTCATTGGAGCTGAATGATCAGGATGAACGGGACTGTTTGTTGAATGAGCAAACGGTGGTTTATTACCAACAAAACTAAAAGCTGATAATTTACCGCTTCGACTCCTATAAACATATCATAAAAATATATTATTTATTGCCGATCAAGATATTTTCTTTGTTTACTTTGTGATGGATGAAACACTATCAGCATCCGAATTACTTTTTCCTTGAGATTGAATATACAGAACATCACCTATATAAAATGGAATCATCGTATAAGTTTTATAAAAAATATATTTTTTTAATAATTTTACTTGATGAATTATTATTGAATCGATGTGAACTACGTGTCCATGCAATAGCCTATAGAAATATTTTATCAAGACATTTACAACAATAAAATTTCATTGAAAATGTTTACATACTTGACCACTTGGTTTAGCTAGAACTGTGACACATTCGGAACTATTTTCCCAACGTCGCTGTTGTTTCCAAACAAAGATATGTGGCGGTTGAGGATCAATATTTTTTGTTCCACACCAAATCTGCCAAATAAAATTGAATCTAATAGATAATTAATCATATTATTATTCTGTTTAAGTTAGATTTCGACTTTTCAATAAAATTCTAAGTAATACCGATGATATCAGATCACTTTATTTTCATTGGAAACCGTAGTTAAGGTAAGATAGCTTTATGCATACTTTAAATGATACTAGTTAAAAATATTATCTCGAAACACGTTCGATTATTAAACGAACTTACAGTCACTGTTTGTCCAGCTCTTATTACTGTTTGTGGAGGAAAACGGAAGCGACATACAGGCAAACATGCCACATTTTGTTGTATAAAATGATTACTTAAATCATAGTCATCCGAATTAGATACATTTAATAATCTCAAATAATCACCATTTTGTTCTATTTCATGTATACGAATACTTGTTAGAGCACTAATAAAAAAATAAATAAAAATATTGGAGACAATGAAGTTGAATCAATTGATAAGACGATTTACCTTCCCATTTTATAGCCAAGATTGTGTTTTTCCGACACCTCTGATCGATGTTGACTGAATAAATCAGATATTAAATCAGGACTTTTGCCTAAAGTATTTCTCGATCGATCAATTGGAAGAACAGGTGTTATTAATTCGGAATAGAATGAGGCATTATGATAGGCTAAAATGATTGAAAAAAAGAATATTTTGTAATAATGGCTTGTTTTTACTATCTTTTCAAGGAATTCTATACAACTGACGTACTCTAGGTCAAAATGACCTCATCATGGCAATCACATATACTTAGTAGCTAAAACATTTCTTCGACTAGGGCTGCCATCTTTATCTTGCAAACAAGAAATATGTAGTTTCCTAGTAAAAATTTTAGAAAATTAACCAACATTCATTGAGATTTCTTCCACCAATTGGTCCAATGGGATATGATTGTTCAACATGTCGATTATCCACTTCATTGATATTCTCATTGTTTTCTTCATTCGCAGGATTATTAACAGTTTCACTCTGTTCTTCTCTGTTTAACGTAATAATTTGTTCATCCTCTGCTTCCGTTTGATCGTCATTATTAGTGTTATTATCCTCGACGAAAGTCACTTGTCTTACTGTCTTATCAGTATTTCCATTCGACGAACGATGGTTTTTCAATGATCTTTTACTACTTTTAGATGTTGTTTTTTGTTTATCATTTGGTACAACGGAAGAGATATCCGATGACGTTGTTGATGAACCACAGGATGACTCTGAACGTACTGAGACACGATCAGCATTACTTAAATCAGCTGATTTTGAATCAAATTGAGTAAATTCTTTAATGCCAGAAACAACATTATCATGACTAAACAAAACAAGATGCGAATGTTTAATATAAAACACGGTGAATCAAAGTTCGTAAAAGCTAGCAGAAAAGACGACCTCAACTTACTACACATCACTTTTCGGTGTGAGAGTAAGTATAAGTCCAACGAAGAGAATATATGCAAAGTCAATTTCGGAGTAAACTTTTATGCTTTTAAAAATGAGAGTAAAACTAAAAAAAAAGATAAGTATTCTAAGCAGTTTTCTTCTAAACTAAGATTGAATTTCCTTCTATCTAATTCTATTTACTTCAACACACAGCCTTATAATATAAAAATATATTTACTGAAGCCATGATACAGTCTATTCTGCTTATCTTATCTTATTTATGTACATCACAGAAATTCTATTTTCCATCCAACATAGAAAGAGAAAAAACAAATGCTTTACTCTAAAAATGAAAGTCTATGTCTTACTCCGAAAATAGAAGTAAATATCTTACTTTTGAAAAGAGAGTAAATTCCTAACTGTGAAACTGAGAGTAAGCCTTTTACTCTCAAAATACGAACAAATATCTTATTCCAAAATCCCCCTTATCGGGACGCCCATGGTTAATAACTGGCATTCATTATTCAAAAAAGTTACGTCAAGCGTTTCGCACGTGAGTCGAGTAGATCAAACATTTTTCTTCAAAATGATACAAGAATGAACCTGATTGGTTCAGATATGGCTGAGCACTGTTTATTATACAAATAGCCCCAAAATACAGGTTAAAAAAGCTGAAAAAACAGTCAGAGGGCTTTTGCAAAAAGATTACTGAAAACACAGAAATAACGATAGAAAATCAGCATTACAGCCAATCGGTAGAGAATTCTAAGGGCTACATTGTGGCCTACTTGCTCTAGACACAATACGTACGTTCAAATTCATACTGACGAAATACATTGTTAAATTTTGTAAGTTTTTAGGACATTTTGATGTTTGTTCAAAACACTATCTTAAACCTTAGGATCATCTTCTATACATAAACTTTTTGGCAATAAGATGAGCTCTGTGAGTGCAAAAGAAGACGAGAAAAACTGAAATAATAGCTACGTCATTCTTTCTGTAACATCCGTTACAACAAGAAGGTAATTTATGGTTTTTCTTGCAGGAATTATGGAAGAGAATCTGGATAAGTCCAGAGTTTGTTCATGCTTCAGAAGTTTTAAACTACCGTGGTAAAAAACTACAACACTTTCAAATACATTATTTTTATCGTATTCAAATGAAGTGATCGATCATGCAAAAAACGAAAGTATTAAAGAATTTTGGGAAATGTCCTATTCTGACGGAAACACTTTACTTTATCAGACAATGTATGAGAAAAAAAATATGAAAATACTGAAAATGAGAGGGGACTTTAAATATGTCATACTACTCTTATTCCAAACGTATCATTTGGAGTATTGGAGTAGACAGAGGAGTACGGAAGTACAAATGGGAGTATGCCATTTTCTCCTATGTACTAACACTAAATCTTGAGCCGGAAATGGTTGAGAATGAACAAATACATCTCTTATATCAAACTACAATTCAATTGAACAAAATATGTATCTAACTTACTCATTTTCTTTCCATTGCAGTTCTGGATCGTTAAGTACATTTTTGATTATTTTTAATTCTTGTGTAATTGTCTGATGTGTCTGAGTTACACTGCTAATGAGTTCATGTAATTTTTCATTAATATTATTTACAGATGATAATTTTTGTTCTAAAGTATGAATAAACGCTAACAAACGTTTAACCGAATAATAATTCAGACCGTTTGTTGATTCCATCGTTATTCACACTTTTTTTCTTAACCTAACATAATTTGTTATACTGTTAATAACTAGTAACGAGATTTCATGTTATTGAAATTTTCCTGTTGTTTTTTAAACTATTTGATGTTGATTTCAATACCTTTTTCTTTTTTATTGAAAAATAGTTTTGTTAATATTGATTTCTTTCATTGAAAAAACAATAGAGAAAAAAATATATTTCACGAATTTTCTTTCTTTTTTTTTTTCTCTATTTGTCAATGTCATTAACTTCAAAAATTATTTGGCAAGTGGAAGCAATAATTGTCAATCAGAAGAGAAGAAGAAAAAAGGTGTCACACAAAATTTTATTTATTCTTTTTTTGTATTTGAAACATATTTTGTTTTTTTTTACAGACTTCAAGTATCACTGTTTTCTCTAAATACTTTAGAAACCGAAGAAACAGAAACGAAAAATGTACCTATAACGGACGATTTGTTTGATTTTTAATAGTATAGAGTTTAACGATTTTTAACGATATAGAAGCATTATTTTATTAATTAATCAATTAACTTCCTCTATTTGGAATATTGACAATAATTACTTTTTTTTCCCACAGTGTTATGTATAGCGTTAAAATATAAAACGTCTACAAAATTTAAATCACATCGTCCAGATATATTTTACACTTTTATCTGTCATATTTATACGTAAAAAAAACAACAGATAACAAATCGTTACAGTAATCTAATTTGGAGAGTGATTTTTCTTAATAATTCGTATAGAATTTCTAATTCTTTTTTTTTTTTTCATTAGCAAGAACGAAAAGTGTAGAGTATTTTCGTGGTTTTTTAATGGACTTTTAATGCAATTTACTCTGTTTTTTTTTTTCGACATGTTTTCAGGTCATAGTAAGGTAATAATAATGACAGGAGAAATGAATAATACCATTATTTGCAGTAGTAAAGTTAATGGGAGAAAAGGATCAGAGAGAGAGGGAGAACATATATTTGATGATAGCATGAAAACATGCCAAAAACTCGAATATAAGCAAAATAAACTAAATTTTTGTGGATTTCAATTATAATGTTTGTAGTAGTATGGAAACTTCCACGTAGCTCCGCTCATTCTTACACGATTAAGAACCTGGGAAGAAATGATTATGTTTATCGTGTAGAACATGAAAGGTTATAAATAACTACTTTCTAAATGTTCAAACGATGTGGAAAGCGGTGATCTGTAGCTCACAAAGTACGATTTTTCTTGTTTGATAGGGTGGAAGGCATCCAGGTTACCAATAACTTTAAACTTTTGTAGTAATGATGATCGGAGAAAGCACGCATTCTGTTTTCCCCAAAACGTCATTTTTTCTCGTAATTTTTCCTAGAAAAACTTTGACTCAAAACTTCTCTATATTAGCTCAAAGTTAAGTTTTTTGAAATAAGTTTCATTTGACAAAAGACATAAGAAAGACAAACTTTATCTCATATCAGTAGAAAGTACCGAAGATCGAATTAGGTCATGAATGCGTGACCTGACCCGATAAGAATTGTTTACTAACTTCTCAACTTTTCACCCGAATGACCCCAAAAATTTTTCACCATTAATTTGACAATGATCCAAAGCTAAAAAACGTTTTCTCGAACGTATATTATCGAAATACATATAAAATGCACATCGCACACGAAATAAAAAACAAGAACATCTTTTTCGATAGATACAGACATATGTTCGAAAATCTCGTTACTTCCCGAACTCCGTACACTTTTAATTAATTTCAAATTAGATCAAAGAAACTTCAAAGGCAGTGAATGGCTGGGTGTGGATGAGTGTGCGGAGTTTGGATATGAACCGAAAATCTTAGTTTCTAGTGATATGTCTTAAATTAAACCCAAAAAGAATTTTTTATCTGATCCAAAGTACTCTTGCACAACACGCCGGGAACTTTGAACTTTGTGATCTACCCCCTTGGAAACAAAACGTCAATATTTCAAGATATTATCAACCTAGATACTATCTGAATAGCTGTACAAAGACCGTTAAGTCACGAACCTTAACGCCAAATGTTTTCGAGTCAGTTTTCTCGAAAAAGTTTTCACAAGAGAGAAGATCCACCAGCGTCACGTCGATTTTATACATAGATACCCATGATGACCTTACGGCTAAACAAAATATAACAGTCCCAGATTGCAAGACATATAAACTTCAGATGTTATGGGAACAAACGAACAAGTTTCTACTGACGAGGGAAGGTCCCCAACTGTCCGATCGCTTTCGAGCCGAAACCTAGTGGACTATAGGTAGTCGACCATGCTGATTCCGAATATCAACATGAGACGTGCTGTTAGGCCTCCAGAGAGTGGTTTTCTGGAAAACCAGTTTTTCAGAAACTCTAAAAAATAACCAAAACCTTTCTTAATGATGCATGATTGTAGTCCCAAAATTTCTGATTAAAATGAGACCTCTCCCAGCTATACATGACCTTTCTTTGCAAAGTTATAGAATTTACAAGAAAAGCCCTAAATGTTCATTGTTAGCTCAAAGCACATGAAATAAGAAGAAATTAATTTAGGGCTTTTCTTGTAAATTCTATAACTTTGCAAAGAAAGGTCATGTATAGCTGGGAGAGGTCT